AGCAAAAATTTGTGCATTTATCTTATAAAAAATTCTGATTAAGGCGTCAAAAAAAATTTTTTTTTTTGATCCAAATATAAAAAAATATCTTTATTTTTACCACTATTTTTATAAATTATGACTGAAGCATCACCGACTCAATTTGCTTGTAAGTTGATCAAATAGAGTATTTTTCTTGTATGTTGTTCGACTAATAAAAATTTGAAATTATTTAATAGATCGTTCGGCTAGTAATTTGGGTTTAGTCTTTGGACACCCAAGTTATAAGCCCGTAAAAAACTTTCAAAAGTATATAATATTAAAATGAACTAGTTTTTGCATTTATTGTAAATTTTCATTATTTTTAATAATATTCCTTATTGTTATCAAGTCCCGGTGGCAACGTCAAAACCTTTCAATATAGTAAGGATGGTAAATATCTTGGTTGGGCCTCTCCAGAAAGGTAATTTTCAATTGATTTGCTTTTACTTGTTATAGCGAAAAAAAGATTCTTATTTAATTCAATATTTTTAGCGTAAAAATCATTGAAACTGAGAATGCTCAACTTAAGAGTGAAATTCCAAAGGAACAAAAGGGGAAAAGCGTTTGTACCGAAACCGTGCCAGAAGAAAATATTGTTGATGCTAAAAACGATCAGCTTGTGAATAAAGCCCCAAAGAAAAAAATTGTTGAAATCGGATTCTCACCAAAAGGAACATATATTTCTACTTGGGAGCGTCCAGGTGAGTCAAATCAACAATTTTGCTATTATTATTAATCTAACCCCTATAGTTTATATAAAATAATAAAAAAAACCATATATGAATATATCTTGACACATATCAGTTAAATTATCTGATGGATCAGTTCATAAGAATTTGATTATCTGGGAGGTGCTTACTAGAGAGGAATTGATTTCTTTCACTCAAAAGAGTCAGAATAATTGGTTAGTTAATTTTTAATTCTATATAAAATATATAAGTTTGTTAACCAATTTATTTTGCATATAGGAATGTTCAATGGACTGAAGATGAAGCGTTTTTTGGTCGAATCGTTACTGGAGAGGTACATTTTTATGACAGTAAACGTTTGGATAAGGGGGTTCATAGTAAATTACGGTTGGAAAATATCAGCGATTTCTCTTTATCACCCGGAAAGAGTCCCTCGATAGGTGTATTTGTCCCAGAGAAAAAAGTAAGCTAATTTTTTTTGATCTATGCACAGTTTATTTAGCATATTTTTTAATTTTCATAATAATGGTGTATATAGGCCGCACCTGCTATTGTTCGAATATATTCCATTACCAACTTTAACGCTCCTTTGGCACAAAAAACGTTTTATAAAGCTGACAAAATCCAAATGCAATGGAACGATTTAGGTACTAATTTATTAGTTCTGACTCAGACTGATGTAGATAAAACGAATAAATCATATTACGGAGGTAATGTCCCTTTTTATTTATTTATTTATTTTTTTTTAAAAAAAAACTTTAATTAACGCGAGTGATTGTTAATTTTATCCTTAGAAACAAATTTGTACTTTTTATCAGTAGCCGCCAATTACGATTGTCGCGTTGGTCTTGGTAGCTATTTGAAAATTTTGTTATTATGTTCTTGATATGATTAACAATGTAATATCGAATTAATTTTACAGACAAAGATGGTCCAATTCACGATGTTTCATGGAGTCCAAACTCAAAAGAATTTGTAGTTATCTATGGATGTAAGCGATCAATTATATTTATTTATTTATTTTGACGGAATTTAATAATGAATATATGAAATAGATATGCCTGCAAAGGCAACGTTATTTGATCATCGCGCAAATCCTATACATGAATTCGGTACCGAATTTCGTAATACTGTTAAATTTAATCCTCAAGGACGACATATCCTTTCATTATATTTATGGCAAATATTATACATTCATTCAAATACATTAGAAAACTTTAAAATTCCTTAACGTCATTGACCTTTATGGTATTTCTGATATCTACTGATATTTATTGCCGGGTTTGGTAATTTGAATGGAACAATGGACATTTGGGATCGTAATTCATTGAAAAAAATAACAACTGTAGAAGCTCCTAATTCGTCGGAATGTTCCTGGTCACCGGATGGACGTTACATTATTACAGCGACATTAAGTCCACGACTTCGAGTGGATAACGGTTATAAAATTTGGCATTATACTGGTGCTTTGGTACATAGTCAGAATATTCAAGAATTATTACAGGTTAGTTTTCTTGATGAAATACGAAAGTCGTCAAAAAAAAAGATTGTATTGATCATGTTATTAAATACATTTATAGGTTCAATGGCGGCCCGCGAGTGTTGAACTTTATCCTATGCGACAGTTATCTCCGGCACCTGAAAATGCCAAGAGTCCTACGTCACCGACGAAACCTTCATGTAAGTTCGTTTGTTATTAACATATTATTTATCGATTTATCGATCTATTTTTTATTTATTTTATTTATTATATTATAACAGCTATAAAAGCAGGCGCATATTTACCACCACAAGCACGTGCCCGTGGTACACCAACTGTTGATATTTTCAAGGTATCTTTTTATTATCTTTTCCTACAATATATTTTAATTGGTTACTCATCATTCATTTACATTTTGTAGCGTGAGGAAGAAACGAATAATAAGGTTCAAGAAAACGGAGCCAAACCCGCAGGAACACCCGAAAGTAAGGATAATTTATTATTGACCGTCTTTAATTTTAATATATTTATTAATTTTTAATTGTATAATTAGTAATGTCCAAAGCTGCCGTTAAAAATAAAAAGAAACGTGAAGCTAAAAAAAGAAGAGAAGAAGAGACCGTCAAGGAAACTGTTGATAGTTCTGATGATATAGGTCTTTCTTCTTTTATTTATTTATATTTATATTATTTATATTACTAAATGCTTAAATTGCTAGAATTAACATTTTCGTAACTCATTTAGATACTTTAATAGTTCCCCCCTCACAAACATCTCCCGTTAAAAATGAGATAACAAATAATGGTATTCCCGAAGTGGTTAATTCTATTGATATGGCAAAATCTGATTCAACACAGCAATCTACGAGCAATTTATCAGAAACGGATAAAAAGATTCGAAACTTAACAAAGAAGTTACGACAAATCGCTGAACTTAAAGATAGACAAATGAACGGAGATAAGTTGGAAATTACACAGGTAAATATTGATATCGGTTGTTTTCGATAAGGTAGTTATATAAACATTTTTTCCTTTTTCTTTTTATATCAGATAAAAAAAATCGAAACCGAAAGAGCTTTGCGGAAAGAATTGGAACAATTAAATTCTCAATAGTGGTTAGATGATTTACATTGAAATTGCATCAGGAAATAATACATGACATGTACAATTTGCACACCCACATCATACTCCACAAAAAAAGCTATTTTAATTTTTGGATAATTTTGCATTAATCACAATAGAATTAATTTATAAAAGCTTTAATGATTTTGTTCAAAATAAATAAATAATACCTGTTTTCTTTTCATTTTCATGAGTATTAACTATAAGTAAACTATATAAAAGTTGATCATCAATATTGGGATCGACACTTTAATACTTTAATGCGCAGATGAAAATTTCGGATTACGATCTCGATATGGAGTGATATACATTAAATAGATTTTTTATCTTTTTCTCATAGAAAACTTGTCTTAATCTCGATCCTTTGTGGCTCATACTAAACTATTTCTTTATATTTATTTTACCCACTATGTAAAAATAAGCAATTCTTTTCCAAAAGTTTAGATAAAAATTTTTTCTTCAAAATTATTGTTGAAAGAAATGAATCTTGTTCGGTTCTTTTTGAGTTTTTTGGTAGTTGTGAGTTTATTGAATTTTATCTGTCTGGCTTATGTTCCCGGAATTTACTTTGATCGGTACGTATTTATTTATTTACATTCCAGGGAGTGAGAACACTATTTTATTAATTTATTTTTTTTTTTTTAAAAAAAAAAGAATCATAACTATTGTTTTGTCATCAACGGACTACGATACTGCGATAAAAGATCCATACTTGTTATTTCTTGTTAGTTAATTTTTTTTTTTTTTTTTTTTTTTTTTTAAAAAAAAAAAAACAGAGAATATATATTAAACTTATTCTTATTTCTTTATAGTCTAAACAAGGAATCTTATTAAAAGATTTACATGGAATATGGCATCCATCACAACCGAATTATATATCGATGATATGTGCTTCAAAAAATGGAATGTTGACAGATTTTTCACAAAACTTAAATGGACCTTCATTACCGGAATTGTTGGAAGAGAAAAACATTTCATGGAAAGCGTATATAGAAAATTATCCTGGTAATGGATTTAAAGCGGATGAATCAGATGATAAATTATATGTTCGTAAACATAATCCATTTATCTCAATGAATAATATAAGAAAAGACTCAACCATGGTATCAAAAATCGTTAATTCCAAACAATTAACTGATGACATAGAGAAAGATGATGTTCCACAATATGTATTTTACGTGCCAAATATTAATAATAATGGAGAGAAAACCAATTTAAAATTTGCTAGTAATTTTTTAAAAAATGAATTCATTCCTTTAGTTCAACATTTATTAACTTCCACTAGAACCCTTTTAGTGATTACTTTTGACGAAGCCTTTACTTATATTGATTTTAATTTAACAAATTATAATCATATTTATACCACACTTATTGGACCTAATGTATTAAACTCTTTTACGCATAATGATGATACGAGATATAGTCATTTTAGTTGGGTACCTACTATCGAAGTGAATTGGAATTTATCTAGTCTTGGTAATGGCGTTGATACTGATAGAGCAAGTACCGTCCCTTTAGACCCTAATTTATTTTTGTAATGGTTAAAAAGAGGAGGTACGTACGAGTAGAGGTAAAGAAAAAGAAGGATAATACTGTGGTGTTTTGTATAGTGATTTTCTTTCTTTTTATTTTAAATTAATAAAAACCTTCGTATCTATTCATTATTCTATTTACACGAAAATTTTTAAATTATTCACTTTTAATTTTACTTGGATTATAATCTTTAACTTTCCAAAACCCAAAAAGGTAATTCAACCTAATAATTAACAAATCAGTGGCCATTTTGATAGAATCTTTTATGAGTGAAACTTTAGAACCATCAATCTCATGCCAAGTAACAGATACTTCTACGATGGGCATTTTGAAATATTGTGCTACTAATAACACTTCAATATCGAATATCCATCCTTCTACGTGTATATTATTAAATATGTTTAACGCTGCTTTCCTCGTGAATAATTTAAATCCGCATTGTGTATCTTTTATTGTTCTTATCCCTAATATATATAATAATTTATGAAACGAGTGCATTAAAAAATTTCTAATTAATGATCTCTGTAAATAAAAAGAAAGATTGGTAAATATGTATGTGAAGAAAATGATTTTAAAGAGAGAAAAAAAATTTATTAGAACTCATTACTTTGACTACGGCTTCGGTTTTCACTAAATGAGCTCTAGATCCAACAGCTACACCGTATCCTTCTCTTGAAATTTTATTTAACTCCTTCTCTAAACAATCTAGATCAGAAAATTTTGTCGCTCCATCCGCATCAGCAAACAAAATATATTTTCCACTAGCACTTAATATACCCTAAAAAAAAAAATGAAGCTTTTATTCAACATTTTCTAATCAACAACACAACAACAAAAAGGAATTTTCCCATAATAAATACCAGAGTAACAGCGCCACCTTTCTTTCGATTTTTTTCCAAGGTTAACACTTTTAATTCAATTCCTCTAGGTTTAGAAAATTCCAATGCAACGTTACTAGTACCATCATCACTAGCATCATCAACAACAATAATTTCATATGAAAAAGTTTTATCCGAATTCTTACGAGCTTCTAAATAGTTTACCGTTTCTTCTAACATATTAGGCATTCTTTGTGCTTCATTATATGCTGGTACTATGATTGAATAAGTATATTTCGGTGGTTCATCAAATATACTGGGTAATAATCTTGATTTACCCGTACTTGAACACTTGTAATATTTTTCACTTCCGGTTAGTGGTCGTGGTCGTGGTGACATTACAATCAATCCTATGGTCAACTATTGATAAAAGAAAAGGTTGGGGGCAATTTAATATGGATGGGATAATAAGGGTTTCGCGTTTATAATATAAAGTTGTCGTAAAGTACAAACTTAGAAAAACTTACTCCACAAATTATTACAATAACAAACATTATTAAATAATTAATTAACTCCATTTCTTTTTTTATTTGATCTATATATTTACAATCAAAGTCGTTTCAAATTTAAATAAAAAACGCGCGCAAAAAAAAAGTTGATCGACAACATTGCTAATATTGCCAATCCAATGTTGTAAACATTTAATTGGTCTAATTTTAAAATAAAAAATTTATTTTAATAATTCAATTAGGAGATATGCAATATATAAATCCTAAACTTTGACTTATACATATTTTTATATCTACATTTAACAAATACATTCCCGTGCAAAAAGTTTAGGACCACCCGATAAATTGTAAAACAAATGGTTTTAATATTATTTATAAGTAATCACATATTTAAGGCACGTGATTTTTCGTGAATAAAAAAATAATTCGTATAATTATATTTATTAAATCATAATTATTTATTGTATGGGACAAAAAAAAAAAGGAATCCAAAAACCCATACAATTGAAGAATTAATCTGATTATAGTAGGGTGGCCCATTTTCTGCGGCGTTAAACTCAAATATACTTGCTTTATATAATTAGATATGCAAGTATATTCGAAAAATTTTAAAATCTATAATTATTATACTGCAATTACAAATTTTGATTATTAAAATACAAAAAATTCAAAGCAGCAATTGAATTTTCTGAAAGTGCATGCCG